TATAATAATAGCTTTTTATACTGACTTCCATCCATCAATCCATAATCAAACTTTTTCATATAAATTGCATAGCTGTAATACAACGGATTTCAGGTGACAGATCATCACAAATGAGCATACAAGTAGGAAGCAAAAGAAGAGTTTACAAATATAAATCTCAAAATAATGCTAATTCTGCAAATCTCCCTGAAAAATCATCCTCATGGTGAAACGTGGTGGTGGCAGCATCATGCTGCACGGAAGCTTTTCTTCAGCAGGAATGGGGAAGCCAGTCAGGGTTGATAGGAGAATGAATGGACCTCAACATTCATGTCTTAATTTCCCTTTGGAATTAATACATTTTGAATTTTTTAATTTCCACAAAGAGAAACACGAGTTGTGTAAGGAATGTTCTTTTTTTATTAAGAAGTTGCAAACTATGTGATTTTTTTAAATGCCGTTTTCTATTAAAATAAATAAGTTGTTCTTATTTAAACACATTTTCCATTCTACATACTATGAAAAAAAGCTATTTTTGCTGCAGCATAACATGGTAGTTATGGGACTGGTGGAGCTCCTCACCTTATCTATAAAGCTTAGCCACTTAGCCCCAAACTCCTTTCATCATCTTGACCTTTTGGACTGGAGAAGGCCCAGTGTTACTGCAGATGAGGCTCCTGCTCCTCTGTCCATATGTGGATTGACTCATGTGGGGAACAACCTCCTCACTTTTTAATTAAAACAGACATCTAACTCAAACTGAGTGTCATAATATTACCAAGACGTCTTAAAATTACGAGAAAAAATTAGTTTTAATGAGAAAAACTGTTTTGATAGATTGTGATTCTTGTCTTGAAAATCCTGCTGCTGATCATTTGGTGCTGATGTGTTGAAAGATGACATATTTCTATTAATTATTAAATATTATCTATAAAACTTAACATAACCTCCCAAGATATCATTTTACCTTTTTGATATTTTTGAGTTAGGGTTCTCATAAACTTTTTTTCTCCTAATATTACGACTATATTCTGGTAATATTATGACTTTAATCTCATAATTATAAAAGAACAAATGTAGCCTGACCCTATTAATAAACACATTTGTCGAACAAGATGGCGGTCCTCTGGGTGCTGACATCGCTCTGACGACGAAAAAACAAGGAATCAATCGGCAAAACAAGATAAATATATATCAGATTTTCCAAAAATGTAATCTCCAAAAAGAAAAAATTTGAGTAATTGATCAAATCAATTCATCGCCCAGCCCTAATTTGAGCGCATCACACTGGCTAAATGTGTAATATGTTTGCCAGATTTCAAATAATCTGCTTTCATGCTTCCTTTTTCACCAAACTACACTGTAGATAAGAAGCTTACAGTGTGGATTATGTGGCTCAGAAAAAGCTGGAAGCATCTTCTCTCTTTTCCACCAGCGGGTCAAGAGGCCACAGCAGCTTCAGGAGACGCCATGCTGTCCACTCCTTCTCCTGCAGATCTGCACTGACCTCCATCTTATCATCTCTCTGCCGATCATCCCGCCAAATCGCTCGCTTGTGCCTAAATCGCTGCTGGAGTGGATTAAACTGAAGGCAGCGGCGTTGAAACGCAAGAAGAGGTTTACCAAGAAATATTGCATGTGACAGCGTGGCCTAAAACATGAAACCGTAATAAGGCCAGGCTTTAATAATGCATCTGATGCAGAGAAGCCGCTTCGTCTTCAAGAAGAAACAACAACTGTGAAGCGCAGTTAATGTTCTTATTCCCAAAATCATGGATAATGGTGCAGAAAAATGTGTTAATCAGAAGTGGAGATATTTCTTCATTCTTGCCACACAGTCAGTGTGGCTCAGTAATGAACAGTTTCAGCTCTATTCAGATTATAGTGTTCAGTCTGATGGGAGATCACTGATTACAGAACAGAGAGAGGAAGAAAAATTGAAAAAAAAGTATAAATTTTAAGTCTGACTGGCATCAGAAATGCCCAGTCTCTCCTGTAGTTTTTAATATAGAAAAACACAACAGAAAAAATTATACAATATAAATGTTTAGGCACTTTTTTTCGTTTTTTGCTGTTTTAAGTGTGTGACTTAAAAAAGATGTAAAATAAATCAGCAAGTCTCAAGCGCTCTTACTGGATGCATTTTAAGTGTATTTGTTAAAGGAACAAGTTGTGCATAAGGACAAAAGTATTTTAACAATCACCAAACAAGGAAACAATTAAATATATATTTTTTAAAAACATGAGCAAAATATACCATAAAAGCAACATGCTTTTTTTGTCTCAGTTGTGGTGAAATTATTATTATTTTTTTTATTTTTTTTTTAACATATAGTCTTATTTTTGGAATGTGTGCTTTTCCTGTAGCATTTTTGAAAGAACATTGTTAATAAATTTCATCCTCTGATGTGTTTATGTTCATAAATTCTCCCTTTTCTCTAAATCCAACAGTCTGTTCTCTTACTGTCATGGAGAAAAAACTAATTCTAATAATATAATTCGGTTTATTTACCAGTTTAAAAAAAAAATGCTGGTTTGCAACAAACATCCTCTCAGCAAGGTCCAATTCATAACAAATTTTACTGAATCTATTTGATCCAAATTCAGTTCTCACTGATCCAGTTGGGAACCTATAAAGGAATCAAATCGCTTTGATTAACTTATAATCAACAACTTTAAAGCCACAAACACAGCTAGTTTGCTGCGCTGAAGCGTACGTTTGCGTTTTAACACAATGCAAAATGGCGAAAGAAATCAGCGGTTGCTTCTGTGAGGCAACTGTCCCCGCTTATCAACCTGAGAAGGATTATGAGGCAATTTCAGAAAATGGTTTAAAGGCCATTATTCTGCAGCAACAATGAATATTCACGAGTGGTTGAGGGAGGACAGCTGATAATCTTCTCAGGAAATCGATTTTCCAGTAAATTCCATCCAACGTGAAAAAAAAATAAAAATACAGGAGCTTCATGTTGAACTCTGCAGGCTTCAGTCGGTGTTTTAAATGTTAAGGGTCATGAAAAATGCGGAACGAGTTTAACTTGTTTCCAGAGGCTTCCAACATAAAGCTTCTCTTCTAAAAACAAAACTGCGGCGCGACAAACCTCATTTTAACCAACCACAAGAGTTCTCCAAATCTTGTTGGACATTTGAGACCAAAATGGTCCAAAATGGCTGCTTAGCTGTCATGCATATCAGCATTAACACCTCATATCTGCTGTTAAGAGGCCTGATGATTTGAGCTTGCTTTGCAATAACAGCAACTATCTGTATTCTAGCTAAAGTTTGTCTGAAACTAAGTCGTGCAAGAAGCATCGGTGTGAAACAAACTGAGTCATATGGAAAGCAGATACTGCATGTTCATGCATCTAAATGTGGTTTTACGACCTACTGACTCATGATAAGCTGTAGCTAGTTTGTTCATGTAATTTTTTCTTTTTGTCTACTTAATTGTTTACAGAGGCGGTCCCAGCCTGTTTGGCGCCCTGGGTGAACCACCTTTCCGGCGCCACTGGTGTGATGGTCATCTGTGTGTCATCCAGTTTGCATGTGTTTGTTTTGGAAAAGCTTATTTCATTCAAACATTTCCCTGAGCTCCAGTTCTTATACTTCAGACTCAAACAGCTAAACTAAAACATGACCGCTTTAAAATGTCCCATTCCAGTTTCTTCAAATAAACTTATTCATAACATCCAAATATGTATTTTCTCAACAACAGATATTCAGTCAAATATTGAATATTTAAGACATTAGACAACTATGCTGACATAGTGAAAATCTGCAGGCTCAAACTGTACTCATCTTTAATAATTTACTAACTAGTAATGTTTAAAGAGTTCAGCACATAAATCTTGGTTTTACTTTCACTCCAGGCATAAACAAAAATAACCTGCAAGCCATAATAACCTTAGACAAGTGAACACGCTTTCCAAATTACCTATCCTTAACACTTATTTTTTTGGGAATTGGATAAAACAAATAACATAGCTTCACAAACTTCTGCAAGTGTGGAGGAAACCAATCTGTTCCACCGAGATGACCTGGTGTCATGCCTTCAAGACAATATACAGGGCACATTGACCCACTTCTACTGGTTTCCCGCATGTCAGACACTGAGAAGGGCAAATTAACCCAGGAGAGCGGCGGGGTGGGTTAATTTTCAACACTTCAACACTTTTCAATGTAAAAAAAAAAACTGTTAATAAATCACATTATGACTCTTTCTCTAACATCCGCACAGCTTAACTACATTTTGAGGGAACATTTCTGAGGTTTTACAAGATAATTGTTTTTTGTTTTTTTGTTTCCAGCACTGTACTTAAGTAAAAGTACAAATAAACTGATAAAAATGTACTTCAGCAAAAACAAAAGCTCCAGATTACTCACTCAATTTTTGCTGGTTTATAAGTGAATGAGTACTTGTTTTTAAAAACAGTTAACGTTTAGAAAGTAACTCGTTGAAAGTATTCTCTAACGCAATGGTGTAAAGTATTATTAAGTGCGCCTACTGTAATTTCTTTAATGATGGTGTGTCCTTTTAGTGAATAATGCTGCAGATAAAGGATGTTTTTATGCTCTCTGTAACAGAGCTTACTCTTGGATGTCAGAATTTCAGGAATGATAGAACTAAATGCCATTAAGCAAAATAAGAAAAAGGAATGATTGCACCTTTTAAATGCTTTATTTAACATAAAGCAAAGCCAGTGTGTTATTTTAGCTGCAGTAAAAATATTCAAGTAAAAGTTGTCTGCCTGAATGAAGGGGGAATACGGTATATTCAAGCTTATAGTGGGTAAATAGTCTCCCATTATAAGTCACTATAACGGGTGACTTATCATAGTGTAATTTATTATATATTTCCTGGACTGGTGTCAGAAATATTTTAATTTCATGACAAAAAACAACTCTTGAGCCCAAAAGTTGTTTTTTTTTTACTGATTGACTCAAATAAGTCATCATTTACTTAATAACCTGATTTAATCCTGGAGAGGGGCAAAGTAGGAGGGGAGAAGATAAGAGGAAACGTCTTACCCAACAGGTAACGCTGCAAACACGTCTTCCAGCTGAGGAGTGATTGTCTCTGGGGAAATCACAGTTTTCCTACACTCTGACCTCCTCAAACAGGTGTGCAATTTTCACCTGCAGCCTTGCACAGTAAGTCTTCACAACATTCTTGCACCTGTTTTTTGTTGTTGTTGTTGTTTTTTTTTAATACGTTTGCTTAATTTTTTTGAGAGAGAAACAGAAATCCTGTGAAAGTTATTTGTTTGCACACAGCATGCATGTGCGTCTGCAGGGAGGATGTGGTTGTCAGTTCTGGAGTTGGAGGCAGAAACAGATATAAATAGAAACACCATATGATGAATATTCTTTGTTGATGATAGATTTATCAGATTCTATGTTTTCAGTTTGTATGTTGTTGTTTTTTGCTGTGTTTTTAGCTAAAAAGTCAGAATTAAACCATTCAGACTGATCTAATTCTAACTTGAACCAGTCTGAACATGAATTATGTCTAGTTTCATACTTTGTTGTAAGTCTTTTTGTTCCAGCTCATTTCCAACAACACAAGGAAAAATAAACTTTCATACCTTTTTTGATTGTTAGCTAAGATCCATTCGAGTTTAAATAAAGAAAGAATAAGATTCAGAACAGCTATTGCCCAACAGGTAACGCTGCAAACACGTCTTGCAGTCCATGTAATATAAGTTCAAGGAACTTATATTACAAAACGTGTACTCTGAACTGACGCACACAGCGCTTTTTAATCACTGATCTTAACTACTGAAAAGATCCTGCCTGTCAGTCTAAGAGCAACATGTCTGCTTTTAGCAAAGACTGAAAAAAGTGTCACATTCAGAGTATCTTTTTCTTAATTTGGCTTCATCTGCACTCTGATAATAATGACATTCTAACAGTTTAATGAATCATTAAAGTTTCAAAATTAACATTCAGATGACAGTTGAGACTGTGCCTTTGTTTCATCAGCTTGATCTGTTTTTCAGGCCCGGATCTCGACATGGGCGGCACAGAAAATCCGTTTTCTGACGCAGATTTTCTGAAAAATGATGACTTCTCACTCAATCTGACAGCTGCCAACACCAGCTTGCTTTACCCGTCTCTTCTGTCACCAGTGATGGACAAAACCATCAACATAATAATGATTGCAGTGCTGTTAATCGTCATGGTTTCACTGGGATGCACCATGGAGGTGACCAAGATCAAAGTAAGCAGCTCATCCACGTGAAGCCATCTGTTTTAGAGCACACATTGCTGTAATATTTCTACTCTCTGCTGCTTTCCAGGATCACATACTGAAACCGAAAGGTGTGGCCATCGCAATTCTCTCCCAGTATGGCATCATGCCTCTCACAGCGTTTTGCTTGACTAAGGTTTGTACAGCAGATTTAAATCTGTTCATTTACGAAATGAGTTTTTCAGGCTTCAACCACAGCTGTAGAATTGGTTCAAACCTGCAAAAGCTGAGAAAGTATCATCGTAACACCTCACTAAAAACAAAAAATAGAAAAACATTAAAATATTCAAGCCTTTCGGTGTTCATTTAGAAATTTGACAAGTAAACAAAGTTCTGCAGATGCTCAATGTGGGAAAATCTGAGGACCGAAACATGACAGTCGTCTGTGTAAATAAACAAATCTGAGTAATTTTTGGATTCTTTCTTTAGAGTCAGAACATTTTAAGCTTCTGTTAAAAATTGTTAAAATATTTTTGAGGAGCTGTGCTAACAAGCTCTAATGATTTACGTCGCCACGGACATTCTCCTAATCATTAGGCATCCTATTTATGAGGTAACTACCTTGATATATTGAGTTGAATGACCTGCAGGACATCAACTAAGCTACTTATTTTTCTTATTAACGCGACTCATCTTGATTTGTTCCTCATATACCCTGTGTGGTTGTGTTGCAGGGTTTCCAGCTGTCTGAAGCCACAGCTGTGGTGATTCTGATCTGCGGCTGCTGTCCTGGAGGAGCCCTGTCCAACATCCTGGCTCTGGCTATAAAGGGAGACATGAACCTCAGGTACACAGACATGTTCAGGAGAGCAAATAAAAGCTCCAGCTCTTTCTGAAACTCTTGAGGAAGTCATCACACAACATGGCTTCTCTATTAACTCTTCAACAACGTTTTTACCAGCACCATGAAAAGTAGATGACCCTTTGGACGTGACATCACGCTCTGGAAAACCATAGAAACAGACACCTCTAGTCTAATATCACCTATATTTAGTTGATTTCACTTTAAAAATCGCCATAGAGTGCTGCATAAACAGGTCTGCATAAACAGAAACCAAACTTGTCATTTTATTATATTTAACTTTTTAATTAATGAGGAAAGATCCGGCGGCCATGGATAGCAGCCGTTGATCATCATGACTGTTAGCCCTCGGTGAAATCGCGCAGCAAATACTTTTTTACAAGGTAAGAAGAATAACGTTCATATACTTTATAAGTAAGTATTATTAGAAAGATATGAAATATCACATTATGGAGAAGGTACGCGTCTAACCGTTGGTAACCATGGAGACAGTGCCGCACCGCCATGTAGCCTAGCATGTCTGGGATACTAGTTAGCATCTCGTCTTCTGTACGTTTTTAATGCTGCTCCGGTGTAAAGGGAAACGCTGTTTATGACATAGTGACATAAATAATGTGGTGTGAATTCAGAGAGTTGCTTACTTTGATCAACACATCAGGAGGGAGGAAGTATGGGTCGGTTTCTAAGCTAGCTATGAGAAGCTTTTGTAATTACCTCCGTCTATGAGCCCCAACCAGGTGTGTTATGTTGCCTATACAAATTACCTTGACTAAAACAAGTAGGAACCATGAATAAACTGGCAAAAACAACTTTGGAAAACAATTTAAGTCGCTCTGTTCAATATTCCTATCTCCCACTTTGAACGTCCAACATGGCGATTAAGTGACTAGTTGCAAATGGTCAATAATGAGTTCAGCCGATGTGTAGATCCACAAGGTGTTCGCTAATTGCTGCTGGCTAGTCTGAAGGAGCCCAGTGAGGTAGGAGCTTAGCCTTGAAAAGAGGAGGAGCTGTGCCTCTGTCCCCCCACCAAGGCCTTTTGCACAGCTGAGTGGTTCCCACTGGAGATTAAATGATCTCTAAAGCAAGCACAAAATAACCGAAGAAACACTCCAGGTATGTTTTTGATGAGGGAATAACATTTTAACATTATGTAAAGCTCAAAAACGTTGATAACATAATACTGCTCATTTAATAACAAGTTGGGAATGGTTTTTGTGTGAACTAACCTTTCAAGAAGACTGTTAATTGTCAAAGTATGGATGAAAGACTATTATTCTACAAACAGAAGAATTTCAACAACAAAGTCAAAATGGTGGGAAAAAAAACTTTTAATTCTGTTTTGCACCTAGTCACAATAATTATAATAATAAAGTGGAAAAGAAATTCTAAAGGAAAAGCAGTTTGCTTATACTGCTGTATTCCTACTGAGCAGTTTCAGCTTTATCGTGTTTATATGCACACATAAAATTCCTGCTTTATTTTTTTACTGTCCAAGAGAACCTACTGTACCGTCATAACTAGTGGGAATAAAAAACTACCACTGCATCTATTGTGTAATGCTATGGAGACCATAAACCGTCTTACAGTTACCAGGTTGAAGTTCACCTGATTGACTTGACAAAACAAAACCCACATTATTACCTCACTGGCGGCCCCTAGAGGATTTACTGTTCATTACAAGTAAAATTAGGCACAACAAACTTTAAACTATCTATCTATCTATCTATCTATCTATCTATCTATCTATCTATCTATCTATCTATCTATCTATAGTTTTTTTTTCTTTATTTAGATTTATGAAAGGATTATTATGCTTATTCATCATTAAAAAAAGTAGGTAATGTTCTGTTTCTTTTTTATCTTACCATTCTGTGATTAATTGATCTGAATTTACTAAAACTGTGTTTCAGTGTAAGGATTGGAGAAGTGCAGGTTGATGAACTTCTCTTTTTAATATATTAAATATTGAAGATGGAAAAGCCTTTCCAAGCATTGAAATTATGTTTTGTTTTTTTGTCTCTTCAGCATTGTGATGACCTCCTGCTCCACGCTGCTGGCTCTGGCCATGATGCCTCTGCTGCTGTACCTGTACTGCCACGGCTTCTCCAACCTGCAGAAAGCGGTGCCGTATGTGGGCATCGTCACTTCCCTGGTTGCGATCCTGGTACCTTGCGGAGCCGGCATCCTCATCAACTACTTCCGGCCGCAGTATTCAAAGATAATCACAAAGGTTGGCCGAGTCAATGTGGAAAAAATGAATTCTAGTTTTTCCATATTTTTCTTTTAGCTAGTCATTTTTTAAATTGGTTATAAATGAGTGTCAGAAAGAGCCCAAAATTACACCAGAACCCTTTAAAAGAAGCCGATTCTCCTTGGAAGCAGAATAAATTGAAATCATTGGAGACTACTACAAATTTGAAAGTCTGATCCATTTCTTGTTTCTGTTGTTTTCAGGTGGGCCTCTGTGTTTTGATGATTTCCATACTCGTCATCTGCATCATTTCCATCGTTGAAATTGGAAGCTCCCTCCTTACCATGCTCTCGCCTCCTCTCATGGCCATCGCTGTCCTCCTGCCCCTGATTGGCTACGCCTTTGGTTACATCATCTCCTGGGTCTTCAGGCTTACACAGCCGTAAGTACTCGACGGTATTTTATTTTATAGTGGCTTTATGTTATGGCCACAAACTTTATAAATGCAGCCCGTTTATTTCTGTTGATCCAGCTTCAAAATGCCCAAAGTCTGTGTCCTGTACGGGTTTTATCAGCCGTTCTAGTAGAGAGAAAGATAGATTTTTTTTTTTCTTTCTCCAAAGGTAGTTGGTCACAAGGGAGTTAATTTTAAAATATGCACCAAACAAAGATGAGAAAAGTGTGTCAACAATCTATGGCTATAAACAGGAGATGCAGAAACTAATAATGCCAGAGTTTCCACTTTTATTTTTGGATATTTTATTGGACAGTTACTGAGAAAAACAAGCAGTCACATGTAAGGTAGGATATATTATTTTTACCCCCTGGCTTGGTCAATCCATGTTTTTAATGGGTTTTCTGTGGATCTGTGAATGTTTGACCTACATTGTAGAAATTAAGAACGACTCAAAACACAACTCCAGCATAAATTTGGATTTGAAGAAGCTAAATAAATTATTTACCAGAAGATACAAGCTCATAGAAATAACATGGGTTAGCTTGTTTTAGCAATAGCATTGTTATCATAGACTAATTACTTAAAATAGCACAACTCGCTACTCACCTTAATGCTTCTGTTGATCCTAAATTTGACCCAGCCTGAAACTGAATAATAGCATACTCCAATTTTTCATCTGAGGTCTGCAGCACTAGATATGTAGATCGCCTCAACGTTAGGGAAATCCTCAACATTATAAAAGTCTTTTTTTACAAAGATAATATGGATCATATCCTAAATATATGTGTATTTTTTTTAGATACCTCCTCTGTTCCAGCCTATTTAGGACATTAGCTACTCGCTGTGATTCATTTTGCTGTTTTGAACCAGAGAAATCCACTTCCTGACCTCCACCTGAATTTCATGTGTCATCCGGGTCACGTCTCTGCAACCCAGCAATGCAAAGAAGCACAATGATGCATGAATCAAATGTTTTTACAACCTGTTAGCTTCATACCATAATTACGTAAGTTATATTTAGGCAACTTTTCTGCAAAATATTGACCTCCTTTCTCTGGTAACTGGCCTTTCATCAGGCCAATCCAAAACCCATATTTGCCTAAGTCTTTCTTTTGACTTTGGATTGATTAAAAATGTTTTTTCTTGTTTAAACTGACCTAGTCAATTGTAAACAACTGACCTCGATTATTGACCTAGTCAATCATGAGCAACCTCACCACCTTACTTGGCAGTTTTGGTTATAAAATGCACGTCTACGGGGTTATGTTTGTGCCACCAACCTGAGCGAACAGTGAAACTGGTTTTAGTGCAAAAACACAAAATCTTACCAAGCATTTTTGGTCTAGTTTCTAATGCAAATACCTTAGTTCACTTGTAATACAACAAAACCTACTAGTTAATTTTCAGCAAGATATGGGAGCTTGTTTTATTAATTCAATAATTCCTTAAGAGAGACAAAAATGTCTATATTTTCCAATTGCCAGATTATTTCTCTTATGGGAAAAATGTCAGTCTCTGCATGTACCAGTGAAAGGCATTGACTCACGGTGACTGAATACCAGTGCACACCAGCTTCTGCAGATTTTAATTCTTTAAGTCTGTGTAAATACTGATTCTGCATCAGCTGCATTGAACCATGAGTGTTTCTCTACATACATTCATGACTTATGTATAAATCTACCCTCACCCCTCAGAGAGCGGAGGACCGTTGCTATGGAAACTGGCTGCCAGAACATCCAACTGTGTGCCACCATAGTGAAGGTAGCCTTCCCCCCCGCTGTGATCGGACCCATGTACCTGTTCCCACTCGTCTTGGGGTTCTTCCAGGTGGCCGAGGCAGCGCTGCTCATCGTCCTGTTCAGGTGTTACCACTGGTTCACGACAAAAGGAAAAGGTGAGACCCGCTGAAGATGAATTTAAAAAAATAACCTTTTTATAGTAGTTTTATCTTTATCACCTTCTGAAGATGGGAATAGCACTGATTATTTTTATGTTTTACATATTTATAATTAACTCTTTCATGCAGTGGACAGCTTCCTAAAAGCCATTTTCTTGTGGATTTTTACGTTTTAAATCCACACAGACCACTCTAATGAACGAGTGCATCATGCAATACACTGCCAACTACTGGCCATCCACTGCAAGTGCAAGAGAATATTTGTTAAAGTCAATATGGTAGACAGACAAAAAAGCAGCTCAGAAATATCCAGTCCTTCCTTCTGCTGTAGAACTCTTGCAGGTAAACATATTGTGACAATCATGTAACCCCTAAAGACTATTGCTGGTGATGTACTTTCCAAATAACTTTGTATTTGGAGAAAATTACAACTGATCACCTTGAAAAAAAAATTGTTCTGTGCTTAAGAAATTCAAAAACACAGAAAAAAAATCCTGATGTAAAGGATCCTAATTCATGCATGAAATTGTTAAAATAGTCAAAAACTAGAGTTTTTCCTCTGGCAAAAATCACATTTGTATCTTACACTGCAATTACCGTTAAAATAAAAATTCCCAAAGTACCTCATTGTGGTAGGCGTCATTTTTAGCTTCTGATTGGTTTAATCATTTCCTGTTTTATGTCCAGAACTGAAAGAATAATTTTGCTCCTTAGACAAGAAAGTTTGGCTGAAATAATTAATAATTCGATATTATAGATTTCAGGGAAGCAAACTTCAGAATAACGTAACCATTTCAGAAGAACATTTCTGGAGTCATTTTATGCATTATTAAAGTTCTAGAGATATGCATGTTTTCTTTATGTAATAAAATAATTTAATTGCTCAACAGATTCATACCAGCCGACATCAACAGAGGAGAAGCTGAAGGAAATCTCTGAAGGAACTGCGTGACCACCGCATCCCCCAAATAAAAAATATCACTTTAAACAAGTGGAAAAGTGTCATAAAAGCACATTAGAGACAAAACTTATGGTTTATTAAAATTGATTTATTCATCAAGTCTATTTTCAATACACCATACAAACATCTATCTTCACTGAAAATAAAAATCCTCATGTACAAAAAAAACAAAAAACAAAAAACTTTTCCCCTCAAATTCATGTCTATATGTACACACACAGGAACGTCTGTCAGAATACCCTAACGGTAACATGTACACATCTCAACACTTAGCAGAAGGCTGCAGTATGTTCATAAATCCTCAATTTAAGAAATATCACTCCAATAAGTAACATTATTGCTCACAGAGAGCAACTGAAGGGTTCGCTTCATCCTCAAGAGTTTTGCCTCTGTACAAAAATCAAACATAAAAAAAAAACTAGCATACATGAAGAGAATATACAGGTTTTAAGCCAGTGGAATAATCTGCAGCTGTACAGTTGTGAGCCTGGAAGAGAAGCTGCCAATGCGAAGAAAATCTGTTTCGTATTTTAGCTCCAAGCACAAAAAAAAGCATGTTTTTTGTGAGTGAATCTGGGTGGAAAACAAAAAACAAAAATCCTGAAGGAAGGAAGAAAAAGAGGCGATGACCGGGTCCCATAATTCAGCCATTATTATGGTGGCTCACTTTGTAATCTCAACTGTACTGCTGTGTTATAACACGTGTATAAACATTAGAGGAGAGGCATCACTCCGAGTTCAGAAGCATTCTGGAAAAATCCTGCCAATTAATAATGGAGAAACGACAGCTAATCGTTTCAGATAAGCCTGGTTTGTGTTGGTAAAAAATAACTTGAGGACAGTCACAAGAACAATCCAAAAAGGAAACAAAAATCTGAAACAAAACCTCACCTCTCTGCTTTCCCAGGAGGCAACGGGAGTTTTCTAGATGCTTTTGTTTTTTAAGCCAGTTTAGCGTTGACTGTCAGTAGAAGGAGAGCGGGATCTTGGAGATCTGGAGCGAGAACGGGAGCGTGAGCGGGATCTTGAACGAGAGCGGGATCTGGACGACCTCTGAGCCGGCGGCGGCGAGGACGGTGTTACTGATTTGCTGTTTTTGGACGAGCGTTTGGGGTCCTTTGACTTGGGGCTAGGCGAGGAGGCGCCGCGCGCCGGCGTGCCGCTGCGGGAGCGGGAGCGGTGGTGGGCCTTGGCGGGACTTCGGGAACGTCTGGGAGAGCAGGACTGGGAGCGGCCGCGGGAACGGGAGCGCGAGCGGGACGAGCTGTCCGAACGGGAACGGCTTCTCGACCTAAAAGAACAGAAATACGACAGTTAGGATGGAAAAATGGTGACGACTGAAAGAGATGTTTTCAAACTCTTCCAGCAAGTTTCAATTCACTGTTATATGATATGTTAATGATTCCATATTTCAAAAAAAAAAAATTAATTAATGTTTAATGACCCATAAAACAATCCAAACAATTAGTGTTGAGGTAAATGACCTTAATGCTCAAACACCAAAACCAAGAACGATGCAGTGAAAAAAAATCTAATACAATGTTCTCGCCAAGTTTTCTTACATTTGGCAAATATAAATAATTTTGATGATTCCAACTAGCCTAAAAGAAGAAAAGTTTAATTTAATTTCAGACAGTGAGAAAAAATAACCATATGTAACAATTTCCAAATTTAGGTTTTTAATAAAACGTTAGATTACATTTTACTACAAAACTGTGATATTCTGCACCTTAAACACTTAATTCAATAACTTCAAGCACCTGTGCAAACCACGTCATATTTCTAATACTTTCCGTGCTCAAACAGTAACTTTTGAAATGTTTAATTTTATATTAGAGGGGAAATTTGATGCTGAAACTCACCTCTTCTTGGAAGCTTCAATAAGTTTGATTTTCCTTCCATTGATTTCCTTTCCAGACAGTTTTTCAAGGGCATTTTTCAGATCACTATGAGAGGCAAACTCAACCACCCTGAAAAAATAAAAAAATCAGCTGTCATATATTGACACTGATCACTTGTCTGTCATTGTATATTTTGCTATTGACTTATTGCCCAGCCTTAAGATGGCAATAAATCATCACCATGTGAAGAAAACACTAACAAAAAAACAACTGTAATAATATTTATATGCTGTTTTTGACTTGTGTCCCTCCCATTCTCGTACCCTTCGTTGAGTTTTGGGCGATGTGCATCTGCGAATGTCACCTCTCCAGCTTGTCTCATGAAATCCTTCAGGTCCTACACACGCAAACTCAGGTCAGTTTTTGGAGGGGTGCGGCGAGCAACAAGCACAGGCTGAGATATTAACTGCACTGATTTACCCAAAGGGAGAGATGGTTAGATCCTCAGAATTACACAGACTACAGCAATTACAGAGGATGAGTCCAAGGAACCCAATGGCTGCTCACCGACTCAGTGCTTCTAACAGGATTGGTTTTAGAAAAATTTAAATAATAATAATGTGTTTTGATGTAAACCCCTTTCTGTCAGGGATCACTGCAGCACAAGGTCAGTCTCTTCCAGCAGCATTGAGATCTGTGAGCTCATCGCTCCATTAAAACTACACAGATGATCATCTTCATCAACTGGGCTGCAGCTTCTGGCACCAAGAGCCCCATTTCCCCCCCGGCAAGGAGGGTCCGGGTGGTGCCGGGCGCCGGGACCGCCCCCGTCTCGGCACCCCACCTCAGTAAAGAGAGTGAACAGGGTGGAAGAGAGGAAACTACTACCTGAGAGCGATACCCTTTGGGGTGGGCCGCAGGCTCTCCGAGCCCACCATTACCAGGATTACAGCAGATTTTATCCACGGGCCCCTGGGAGGAACTCACACCCTCTCTCTCTCTCACGATGTGCGGGGGACACCACGAGGGGAAGGAAGGAAGGGGGGATATCGATCGATCGAAGCCCCTCAAATTAACGAACCATCGATCAATACGCCACCACCATCGACTCTCGCTCTCTCCTCTGCTTTCTCTCTGCCAACTCTGTTTCCTCTCTCTCTCGCCCTCAACCACACAGCAGGCGGTGCGAGCGAGCGAAGGGCCGCCAGCGCCTCTAGTGTGGAGCGAGCGCTCACATGACCAGCAGGCATCAACTAGGAGTAGGACACACTGGCTGACAGCACAGGCTCAACCCAGACTGAAGGACCCAGAAGGGGTTAACTCCACCATAAGCGAGCTCTTCCACATGACACAACAGTCAAGCTGGCAAATAAAGGGGTGGAGAATTGGTTAAAATGTGAAAACATGAACAAATTTGGTGTTTTGTTGCTTTGTGTTTAGCTAAAACTGCATCTAAAAACATCAACAAGTGTTTAATTCTGAAACAATTACTACAATTACTGAAACCAACTCACCTGGCTAAGACTGACAATACAAATTAAATTTTTTAAAGTTGGTTTTTAGCAGCCAATTGAACAACAATGTGTATTGTTGGAATTAAATAAATGCAGGTGGTGATATTTGTGAAAAATGAGACATTTAAAAGAAATACTGACCTGCCAGCTGACGCGGGAGGACAAGTTTTCCACAATCAGACGGTTCTCAGTGCGCATCGGAGGAGGATTTCGGCTAGGAGGAAATAAAAAAATAAATAAGAACATTGCATTCATTACTACTTTCTACAGATTAGATAAAACGTTTTGAAACGTCTCAGACACTATAAATCCGACTAGTTAGTGAACAAAAACACTATTTTAACACAATTTCCCCAGATCTCAATAATACTGTTTAACGTAAAATACAAGCCAAACTTTAGTTCATTTACACATAAATAATTGAGCCATTAGGAACAATAAATAAAAATAAATGTGTTTGCACCAGATTTTCTGGCATTTAGCTAGGCCTATCACGATAAATTTTGCTGGATGATAAATTGCCTCAGAACTTATTGCGATAAACAATATTATTGTTTTAAGAACCTTCTCAAGTAATATAATAGTAATAATGCCATATAAATGCAAGAACACATTCTGAACGATCGATAAACTTTTAAACACTGGGACTGGATGATATTTGAAATATCCAACAACAAACAAACAACAGAAACAAGTAAAATAAATTATGAAGTCTTTGAAAACAAAATTATCTTTCAAAACCAGAGATAGTTGAGACCAAAACACCAGACTGAAGACTTATCGTTCAGTTTTTGGTAAAAAGAGAGAAAAAAAGAGAAAGACGACAAATTCTTTTAATTTATCAAGCGATTAATTGATTTATTTATTGTGGCAGGGCTACATTTAGCACATAGAAATAACCTAAAACAAGTTCAGTCTGCTTTAACTTCAAACTGTCTCAAGGTGCATGAAAATATATGGTTTCAACCGCAAATAATGCTTTCCAAGTTTAGGCGTTTGATCAAGCGTTAAATTGGACTTTATTACAAAGTTGTGCTGTTTAAATTGATGTCTCACACCCATACAAACTCTGAAAAACAAACAATAAAACAGAAACGACAGGAAAGTAAAAAGCCTCTCTTTACCTCCGACTGTTTTGGGAACCTCTACCGTAGCGGTCAGAGAAACGTCCTCCGCCGCCGCCACCACCTCCTCGCCCGCGGCCCCCCCGCAGACGCACACGAGCATGCTCAATGGTGACCCTGCATTTAATAAGGGAAGATTTTGGATTTAAAAAGCAGAAACTCCAGAAGCTCAATTGACAGGCATGATTTAATAAGCCAATTAAGGACTGATTGAGTAGGAAGTTGGTGCTTATTCACTCCCTGAACTCAAAGTTACAACCACAAATCATCCACAATCACCCCTCCTGAGTCAATACTTCAGAATCGCATTTCACCACAAACTAGTGTTTTCGTCCAAGTCTGCACGTCTACACACTGCAGTATAACAGGACTTATTACAATAACTCATCACTGTCTTCTCAAAATAAGTTTGTTTTGTTAGTATTTCAACTGCTGATATAACAGTATATACCTGCAATTTCTATTACATTTTCAGGGTTTGTACATTTTTCCCCACAGTAAGGTTCAAGCACTTTTCCAGAGTTAAAAAATCATAAAAACAAGAGACAGTTTAAATTCACCACTATATCATAATTAACACTGTTAATAATGCCTAGAATATCTGACATTCTACAGCAAAGACAGGATAAACTAAAATGTAATAAAATGTTATGTCTTGCATAAAATAACTGACCTCAGTCAGAGAAATTTAGTCTGATTTAATGTCAAACAGGGACAAAAAACCTGCAAGTATTTTTATTGTGTTTATGAAAACATCTGATTTCAACTGTAAATAATACTTTCCAAATTTAGACTTTCAAACGCTTTTTTTTTTTTTTACAAAAGTGTGCAGTTTGAATATCAAGCAGTTTTAACAGAAATCAAGCAATTTGCAAACCTTGAAAACACCCAAGTGAAATTAAAGTAAACATTTTAAGCAAGTTTTATTTGGAAAAAATCCTTGTCCTGGTGCGTTTTTTTCCTACATTACTTGCAGCCCTGTATATAAAACCCTATAAAATTACACATTAGGGTATTATAAGCCTGGTGGGCCACCAGGCTTTACTTGTGCCCCCACCAGGCTAAGCAATGCTTATTTAAGTTTTTTTATATTCACATTTTTAAAACTTTTATAGTTGGTGTCCAGATATTAATCTTCCAATATTTCAATAACACATAATCATCAAGTGATATTTTCAAATTTCCTGTCAACCTTAAACATTTTTAAACTCAAAAACATGACAGGACGCTGGATGAATGACTGCCCAAGCGCCCTGAGCACAGGGCTTACAAAGTTTTCTGGGGGAAATCTTGCACATCCAGGTTTGTGGCTATCCCATCTGTACAGAAACTAAAAGCTAATACGGCCTGAAAGAACAATGTGTAAACAGAACCGAGTTCAACAAGTCTATTAACTTAAAACAGGAAAATCTCACCTTTCATTACACAACTCTTTACCATCGAGTTCATACACAGCATCTTCAGCATCTCTGGGATCATCAAACTCCTAAAAAACACAAAGAGGCGTTCACAAAAGAGGTATGCAACCGCAGCATCTTACTCTTGTAAAATTGGTATTCCACCACATGCATATTTGAGTTAATCATTGCTTGCAAAACTGATGTTTTTAATTGCTCAACTTGCCCGCAAGGCGTACAATAATGTTGCTTCAGACTCATGCGAAATGTCGGGTTGGTGCTTGCTCAGGCTAGCAGAGAAGCATGGTAAGGTTTGGAGAGGGGGGCGGGGGCATCCTTTCCTTTTTCTCATTGAAAATTCAATAAGACGTGCAAAAATCACTCCCTCTGCAGTCAAACGTTTGGTTTATAAGGTGGAAATCTCTTATAGAGAGCATCTAATTAGATGCTCTCCGGTTCACAAACAGCAATTTCACCGTGACCTACTTTCTCCTGCGGTGACTCACCACGAAGCCGAAGCCTCTCTTTAGGTCAATGTCCCGAATGCGGCCGTATCCTTTAAAAAACCTCTCCACATCCTTCTCTCGGGCCGACGGGCTCAGGCGGCCGATGAAGATACGACATCCGCTCATGTCGACAGTTTTAGTTTAATTTGCTGCAATCAGAAGGCGTTATAAGCATTTTCCTGTTAGCAAAAGCCCTGCATATGCTAGTCAACGCCTGGGCCTTAACTGTGTTACAAGCTAATGCATCAAAATAACAGCGGAAACTAATTATACCGCTTCTCCTAAAAATGCAGAATTGCTACAGTGAAAATATAAATATTCTAACTATGTACCTACCCCAGGAAGATTGCAGACCTATTCTTTCTTATTTTATTTTTTCTTTCTATCCCGTGAACCGTCGACTGTAATGCAAGATGAAACAAAATGGTGCCGCTGCTGTTTCAGGGCGGAGTCTTTTTAAAGAAAAAAGCCTCACGTGACGTAGAGCGAAAGCAAAGACTGCAGAACACGAACAAACCCGAAACGTATTCCGAACTTTTGCGAATATGACGCAATAAAACACCCCTTTTCAAATGGTGTAGTTACGTTTTTGACCACTGGGGGTCACTAACACACTACTGTGTTTAATCAAACAATGGCTGCGTTTTTAAGACAAAAGACGTGACAAACATCGAAAGAAATATTTAACACTACAACCTTGATAATAGGCTAAGAAAAATAGGTGAACTGTTTTTTAGACTCACAAAACAGAAAGTATAGAGACAGTCATATAAAATAAATATTTAACCATATTATAGTCTTCCATGATAAATTCGTAAATGATTTATGAATTTATCGAAGGAAAGCATGCGAAGTATCCTTAGCTGCTTGAGTGTACTTGGATTTATCGAACAGATTCAGGTATTTCTTACATTAAGTTAAGTGGGATTGATGTGAAAGATTACATTTTTCCAACATTGTTTTTTAGTCAAAACTTCAAAAGTCTATCATGCATTTATATTTAGTTAATTCCCCTTTCTTGCGTGTAGAGTGATTAAGTTAACATCAGACATTCAGTTCAATTGAAAAAACACTAAATATTGTTGTAACTCAAAATGTCCAAGTTTCTTTTTAGAGTTGATGTAAATGGTGATGGCTGTGGGCAAGATCTCCAGTAGCAGTCCATCTTACATATATTCAGTTGAAGCCTCTGACTAAAACAAGGCTTTTGTATGACAATCCTTTAAAGAGGATGACCATAGTTGTCCATTATGTTCTCTATTTGCACTCATTTTCCCACTTTTCATACATGCATTTGTCAAATTGTAAATCATGTAGTGTTCCTCGTAAAACTGCAATAAATCTCTAAGTATCTCAAATCTGCTTAAAATTTGTAGCCATAGCATAGCAAAATGTAAAAAAGTTATTTGCAACCCTGCCCACATGATACACTTTCAAAAATTAATTTAAAACTGGTCTAAAACTGTCGATACAAAAGTGTTTGGAAGAGTATTTCAATGCAGCATGAACAGAAATAAGCAAAACACTGAAAAAAGTACACACCTTCTTCCACATTTAAAAGAAAGCTTTAATTAGAAAGTTATATACACACTGTAAAATTAAATTAAACTTTATACAAATATTAAATTACTATCTTCACACCCACTGCCATGTTCAGAGAGAAAAAAAAGCTTAAATCATTGAAATTAAGAGTCCAGATGGGTAATTTGAACCTGTTATTTCTGGGGAATAAACACCGTACAACAGTGCATCTTTAGAAAAATTTTTCCCCCTCCAGTCGTCTTGCAGCAAAAGAAGCCAAAAGGTAATGAAATATAGGTGCTTTCAGGATCATTGTTATTATTGTCAATTTTCATCACAGTTGCTGGAAAAACAGTGGGGAGAACAGGAAGGGACAGACATTCGCCTAGTTGTGCCCACAACAGAAGTAAACGTATTGATAAATAAAGACTTTTATGCATAGAATAGAAAAAGAATAGAGTAAGGCAATTGGGAAAACAACAAGTTGCAAAAACTGTAAAAGAATCAATTTGGAGGCTTAAGATTATACATATTAAAAGAAAAGAAAATGTACAAATCTAAGGCAACATTTTGTGTGCATGAATAAAGAGTAGCCGCTGACAATGACAAAAAAAAAGCCAAATAAAAACTAGAACAGATATTTAGACGGCTCGTGTGTGTCTGTGTGTTTTCAAAAGCTCAAAAAGTAATTGTCAGGGTTTGTCCGAGCCATGCTGTTTCCACGGTGACCAGCTCAAGGCTTTTCAAGTGGGAATGAAAACAGATGATGACTTCGAACAGAAGGACGCGTTTTCTCTCTTTAATTTGCACTTGGCGTTAAGAGTGAGTATGTCGAGGAAGATGCAGGGGGGTGTATTGCTATCTAACAAAGCATTTTCTTCTTATTTTCTTTATTTTACTGCAACCAGTTGCAGTTTGTTTCCACAATTCTCAGCAGTGGAGAGTCTTTAGTTCAGCATGAAGACAGGCGAGCCATTTCCTTTAAGGAGAGTGAAGTTTTACAGCCGTATTCTAGCTTGAGTGGATAAATAATACCCTTATTGTGTTGCAAACTCAATGCCACAAGTGAAGCTGGTTTGTTCATGTGACTTTTTTTTAAGCGTTGGGAGGGATGTTTTCCTACGATGAAAGACTGGGACATTGTCCTCAATCTGAGGACAAGCAAGCCAGGAAAAGGGCTGCGTCGAGGCCTACCATATCTGGACATGTTCTCTCCTGCCTGGGCTACACAAGAAATACACACACATACACACTCCGATTCGGAAACTCAAAGCAAACAGTCACACGCAAACAATAAATACAGTGAGGTGGGGAAAAAAATTAAACGATAGGAACCTTAAAAAGTTTAAACAGCTGTCCGATCACAACAGGTGTCTCACTTCAGCTCAGGCAGAAAACCACGTCGCCCCTCTGCCGTGTACGAGAAGTGTAAGATGTGCAGCCAAAACACCAATCAATCCCACTCATGCAGCAGAAGGAGCAGCCTCTAGATACGGCTGCAGCTGGCGGCGGAAAATAAAGAAGCAGGGCTTTTTATAGCTGTGATATGGCGCTTAATGAAACGCCGCGCGCTGCTTTTAGCTTGTGTGACACGGTTGTCACTCCGGCTAATCCATTTGCTAGACAGCGGCGGTGAACAGAAAGAGAGAGAGAGAGAGAGAGAAGGAAACAGAGGAGGCTTCATGCGTCGTTCAGCAGTGAACTGAATAAAACAACATGCAGCATTCGCAGAAGAGGGCCGCGAAAAGTCAGGCGTGACTCACGACTTTTCAAGTACAGCGGGAAGACGGTTCTGAGCGTTGAAGCTTCAGGAGCCAAAAATCACAAGTTAATCAAACTTTTTTTCTTTTTTTTTTCCGTATCGACAGAGATTCCGATCAGAACTGATGAGTCTAGAGCTTTTGCTGAAGAAAAGAAAAAAAAAAAGTAAAACTATTTGCAGTGGAGATACAGATAACTACACTGGGTGAGAAGCATGGCAACACGCAACCTATGAAACAATCCTGACTCGATAAGTAATTTTTCACTCTTATTCACAGGATCTACAGGATTTACGTCAATCAGGTTCCACTTAAAGCGTCTGGCCTTTGCTCAGGTTCAACCAGCATAAGGGTCCAGTGGGCTCCATCATTGCTTATGTTGCAGTATTGGTACTGATGGTTGGTTTCGCTTGAGAACAGTAATAGCAGAAGAGGCTGCAGTGGGAGATTGAGCATTGTTCTAGTCACTTCTCTGCTGGCTGCTCGGACGACAGAGGGGAGTTGTGGGGAAGTAAATAGGCAGCCACAGTCGGTTCCGGACAGCAGCGACAGATAGAGGAAGGAGCTGCTGCTGCTGCTGATAGCGGGCTGCAGGCATCATGCTTCCTTCAACAGAGGGATATCTGCACGGGAACAGAGGAGTCATATGAGAGCAGAGCGAAGGTTGCTGCATCAACTTTGGTGCAAAACTCTGCATCAGTTTGTGCACAGCTATGTTTTCACTTCCAGCTTTGCATTGTTGTGTTACAGATTGTGTTTCTGCTATCCTCTGTGACCTCTGTGCAGGTTAAATGTTGCATTTCTTATAGTCTGGCTTAACTTTTTTTGCACCAAGAAATTAAGGGTTGGAGTACATTTGAGATTTTTTTCATAACAGATCCGATTTCTTGATTTTAATGTTTTTTTTTCTAAAAGAGAAATTACAAATGACAGAAGACGTTTTCAAAAAGTGGTTTTTATTTCAATCAATCCTTCTGTAAGTTGAACAGCGGATTATTAATTACGAGATTATAGTTATAATTTTAGCAAAAATAATTACGCAATTTCACCAGGAAGTCTTAAAATTAAGTGGAAAAACAGTAGTTTCAATGAAGAAAAGTTTAATAATTTTTTGTGTTATGAAAATAATACTTGTATTTTTAATATATTATGGCTTTATTCTCATGATTGAAAGGGGAGAAAAAAGAAAAAGAATTGCAGCCTGACCCGTAGATTCCATCATAGAGTTGACCTGAATTCAAAGTCCAAATAAATAGAGGCTGAAAAACACGTCTGTTAAACAAGATGGCCGCCGTAGGTGTGCTGACATCACTATGAACTATGGTAACCCAAGTGGTGCATTGGTTAAAAAATAAATTCAGCTTTTCCAAAAATTAAATCTTCAAAAAACAAAAATTCATTCAGTGGTATTTGGCAGAAAATTTGTCTTTAACGTTTTATAGAAATATGTATTTTCATATAGTCACATTTAGTCTCTAGATGTGCACAGCTAGTATAAACATACCCTGAAGAGTTGCTGCTAAAAAGTGATATTGACTTAAGAGAACTGTATACAAATGCACATGCGTTAAATTTAAGCGATGTGAATATTTATAACACATGTACAAAAAAAATAAAATGAATCAGTCCAACAGAAAATGTAAACATCAAGTCATATTCGTAAAAGATTTTTGTAGATTTTCCTCTTACCGTCAGCAAACTCGTCTACAGAGGTGACTGAAAGCAGACTGTGCTGGTCGCTGCTCTCAGAGTCTCTACGCAGAGGTAGGGGGCCCGCCCAGGCACCCGCAAGGTGCTCTCTAGCCCATGAAGTCGAAGACGAGCAGGAGGAGGATGAGGGCGCCTGATGAACCAACACCGTCTCTGCGTGACGGCGGGAGGAGAAGGAGGAGGAAGAGGTTGACGGGAGGCAGAAGTCTAATTCTCTGTGTTGGCGGCTCCTGCTGGAGCTTTGGCCCCCCGCGGCTCCCTGAGGAAGCCCCTCGGAGAGCACGATGGGGACCCGCGACTCTGGTGGAGCTGCAGCCGGTGGCGGAGAAGGAGAAGGTCCAGACATGCCGCAGGGTCCGCTACTTCCATATACCGCCTCTTCGTAGGAGGGCAGGGACACCTGGACACCCTCCACCACGATGGAGCTGGTCTGGCCTGAGACGCCCTGCTCCCTCCTAATGACCAAATACAAACACACAATAATTTAACACTTAATGCTAAACCGAATATGTGACCTAAAGGTGACATATTGTGCTTCCTATGGGTTATGCAAAACATGCTCAATACATTTTTAGACAATGAGATTGCAGTCTGCTCAGTTCTGCCTATTTTGAGCCTCTTGCAGGTAAAAATTTCTACAATTATACAACCATATATCTTTGAAAAGCATTAGTAGAGCCTCCTGGATAACCAACAAGAATACAGCAAGTGGTTTTTGGACGGTAAGTTAACAACACTCGTCTTTCCAGCAGCCGTTGTACTGCACAAACGGCTGTAAAACCAGCAAACTAAATATGCTGGAGCTCAGCTTGGGTTGTTGGGTTATAAATGCGAGTTAAAAATCAGGAGGTTTTTGAAAAGGCTCCTTTTCCAGACACCAAATAACAATAACTTATTGGCAAAAACACCTGTTTTTTTATGCATCTAAAAATGTATAAAATATGAATTTTACACAGTAGTTCCCTCTTAAATACGAAACTCAGTTTTAGGTTAGGGTCCAACATGTTGCGAGGTGCAGCAAAATCTCAGAGCGATTAGTGTTGACTGTTTATCGGGCTGTACGAAGCCATCTGGTCCATTACACAATCAACAAGACTGCCAATGAGCATCAAATCAAATCACCCTGGCTTTTCTAACACAGAGCACCAGCAGATGCAGTTGTCAAATGTGATCAGATTAACTTTTTTTTAAATGCTTTTAATTTTATTGGCCAGGAATGTCAGAAATGAAAGCTTGCAGAACAAGTCATACATGAGCTAAATTACACAACAAGAGTCAACCAAGACATGACTAACAGGTAAGAGCGTAGAAGAAGTGGACATGTGGACCTTTTAATGTTAAAGATTTAACACATTTTAGTAAAAAAAAAAAACATTATAATTACCAACTACACCCAGGATAAGGTGCAGAAAACATTTTCTTCAATAACAAACAAGACACAACTTACTGCATGAAACCAGTTCCGTTTTGCGGTATGAGGAAACGAAAAGGGAAAGCTTTGACGTGGAGGTTATCTCACCTGTTGTGATGGAAGGACTTGAGTTTTGGCTGTACGAGGACGAACAGCACCACTAAGAGCAGGATGAGTAACACAGAACTCGCTGTGGTCAACACGATGGACAGCGCTGGCATCCCCAATGGCAAGCTGGGCTCCTTGTCTGGAAGATCCACAAGACAGAACGGCGTAGAAGCAGTTAGATCGCTGATTCACATGCACATTTCCAGAGACCTTTGGACTTTTAATCAATTTTATAAGAATAAATAGAGAGGTTCACAGTGAATTTGTAGCTTGCTGAAATGAGAGCGAGTGACTTAAAATCAAATATACACATTTTATTCAAATCTTTAATACGACAGTGTATTAGGACTGGACTGAGTATTTTTACAAGAACAAAGTCAAAAAAAGTATAATTCTTTTGGTGTAGTAATTATCATAAAATTACTTCTTCATTCTACTAACATTACAACTGTATTCTGGTAATATTATGACTTTATTCCCATATCATTTTGACTTTATCCTCATGCGACTTTTTAAATCATATTACAACTTTTCTCACAATATGTTCTTGTATTATTACGACTTTGTTCTCGTAATATGAGGACTTTATTCAAATACGACTTTTTCTTTTTTTATTATGCCTCTTGTCCTCTGTCATAATTTTACACATTTTCAAGCCTTCAAAGAAAAAAAAGGAAATGAATCAAAATCCAAAAATAAAAGTAAATAGGCTAACAAACCTTGTGTTAGTCTGCAGCTGATCTGCATGGGATTGTCCCACTCGCCGTTAAGACAGGTGAGGTACTTGTAGTCGCCCTTCATCGTGTATCCCTCGTCACAGAAATACTCGATGACGGTGTTGTGGATGAGCCGGTGGCAGGGAGTCGGGTGGCAACGGTAGCCTCCGTTCTCTGGTTGCGTAGGAGGCGAACACACTGGAGAGAGCGAGGTGAAATGGATGTTTGATTAATATTGCTGTGCCCAGAAAATCTGTCATTATTTCTACCTGTGGAGAGACTTCAGAGCTCAGAGTTTATGACATGCTGCTTCCTGCCAGCTCTGAAGGACAAACCTTTCTGTCAGTGTTACTGTATTGTATAGAGGCGTGGTGAAGAGACATTTCAGTTTGAGTTTACTCAAGTATTATGTGCTGAAGTTTGACTTCAAAAGCCTGTACTACTGACTGAAAGAAAGCCGTGCATCACTTTACTTCCACTTTGTGTTAATTATAGAACATTGCAATAAAATATACTGCTCAAAAACATAAAGGGAACATTTCACTTTAATTTTGTGCGTGGCTCCAAATCCAGGCCTCCATTGGTTAATAAATTTGATTTCCATTGATGATTTTTGTGTGATTTTGTTGTCAGCACATTCAACTTTGTACAGAACAAAGATTTCAATGAGAATATTTCATTCATTCAGATCTAGGATGTGTTATTTGAGTGTTCCCTTTATTTTTTTGAGCAGTGTACATCAAAAACACAACAAGCATTTTTGGTCTAGTATCTACTGCAAATATCTTGGTACACTTGGAATACGATAAACCAAAAGAAACATTTCCGTTTCAAGTAAAAATTGAGGAAAAAGTACTAGTTTCATTGG